CTAGTTATAATATTAGCTGCTATATGACGTACTAAACTATAATGATTCTAGATTTCTAAGCCTAGTTATAATATTAGCTGCTATATGACGTACTAAACTATAATGATTCTAGATTTCTAAGCCTAGTTATAATATTAGCTGCTATATGACATACCAAACTATAATGATTCTAGATTTCTAAGCCTAGTTATAATATTAGCTGCTATATGACGTACTAAACTATAATGATTCTAGATTTCTAAGCCTAGTTATAATATTAGCTGCTATAGTCTCCAAGGTTTTTTAAAAAAAATCTTGATCCATACTGAAAAAACTAGTTTTGGTTTTTACAGAAACCCAAAGTTCTGAACAAGTGATTTTGTTAGAGAAAGTAGGAGAGGTAATTTGGACATGTCGCTGTTTTAGTGATACGAATTTTACATCATGATAATCACTAGTGTTGTACTTTGAAACAAAAGTTAGTTTGTCTTTTTATTTTGTCATTTATTTACAGACGATGTGCCTAATGAATGTGTATTCACCATAAAATACACTTTATAGCCTTCTAAGTTTTCCTAAATTATGCTTCGAAATCCAAAAGCATTATCAAATTTTTCTTGGAGATGGCTAGAAATGCTGAAGCTCAAAAAAACATTCTTGACATTGCGTGACCTTGCTTGTATTTGAACTTCAGTCAGACAAAGGTGATGTCACGGAGAATCTGAGGCTATTATAACTATGAACAGTTAATGAATTATCAACTACAGCTACCTTAAGGAAATAGAGCAACAAGATATAATTAGTTAAAACAAGGGCTTTGTTTTTCATTTTAAAGGAGAATTTAGGAAATTAGAGCTGCTAAAAACCCTTCATGAAAACCTGTGGAAGCAGAAAGTTAAAATTTACACAAAACACATTTTTTTGTTATATTCTAATATTTACTTGTTTTATGACAAAGATATTCACAACTAATCCTAATTTCATTTTTGTGGAAGGAAATATTAATAACAGTACACATTAATATAAAGCAACTGTTGACTGGATTGCTAGGGTTAGGGATATGAATATCATTAATATAAAGCAACTGTTGACTGGATTGTTAGGGATATGAATATCATTAATATAAAGCAACTGTTGACTGGATTCATAGGATTAATGATATTCATATAAAGTAACTGTTGACTGGATTGCTAGGGTTAGAGTAGGAATGGAACTGTTGGGGTTTTGATGATGTATGTTAATAGTTGAGTGAAATATTTAATGTTTGTTAATGAAGTTGGTATCATATTCACTTTTATTTCTGATGAAGTTAAACCTTTTATGGTGCTGTTATAGTGTTTGGTCTACACAGATATTTACACTATAACATCATGCAGTCTACAAAGATATTTACACTATAGCATGCAGTCTACACAAATATTTACGCTATAGCGGGCAGTCTACACAGATATTTACACTATAACATGCAGTCTACACAGATATTTACACTATAGCATGCAGTCTACACAGATATTTACACTAGCATGCAGTCTACACAGATATTTACACTATAGCATGCAGTCTACACAGATATTTACACTATAGCATGCAGTCTACACAGATATTTACACTATAACATGCAGTCTACACAGATATTTACACTATAGCATGCAGTCTACACAGATATTTACACTATAGCATGCAGTCTACACAGATATTTATTAAATATCTGTGTAGACTGCATGCTATAGTTAGTGCTATAGTGTAAATATCTGTGTAGACTGCATGCTACTTGCAGTCTACACAGATATTTACACTGTAGCGTGCAGTCTACACAGATATTTACACTATAGCTTGCAGTCTACACAGATATTTACACTATAGCGTGCAGTCTACACAGATATTTACACTATAGCGTGCATTCTACACAGATATTTACACTATAGCATGCAGTCTACACAGATATTTACACTATAGCATCATGCAGTCTACAAAGATATTTACACTATAGCATGCGGTCTACACAGATATTTACATTATAACATCATGCAGTCTACAAAGATATTTACACTATAGTGTGCAGTCTACACAGATATTTACACTATAGCATGTATTATACACAGATATTTACACTATAGCATGTATTCTACACAGATATTTACACTATAGCATCATGTGGTCTACACAGATATTTACACTATAGTGTGCAGTCTACACAGATATTTACACTATAGCATGTATTCTACACAGATATTTACACTATATCGTGCAGTCTACACAGATATTTACACTATAGCATGTATTCTACACAGATACTTACACTATAGCATGCAGTCTACACAGATATTTACACTATAACATGTATTCTACACAGATATTTACACTATATCGTGCAGTCTACACAGATATTTACACTATAGCGTGTATTGTACACAGATATTTACAATATACCATGCAGTCTACACAGATATTTACACTATAGCGTGCAGTCTACACAGATATTTACACTATAGCATGTATTCTACACAGATATTTACACTATAGCATGTATTCTACACAGATACTTACACTATAGCATGCAGTCTACACAGATACTATCATCATAAACACCATTTTAACTTTTGTTTAGTTGCAGTTGGCACCATCTATTATAAATAACGTTTTTAAACTAATAAAGTACAAAATACCATTACATATTATTTTTAGGGCAAATATAATCAGAATGAAATAAATTCCAACAATTAAAGCTAGCACGATTATAACCTAAATTTAAGATACTCTTTTAGAACACACAACTTATTAAATAATTATTATATATATAGATATAAATTATTTAACAATAGATTATGTTTTAGTGAATCATTAAAACGGTGATGATGATGATGTTAGTATCTGTGTAAACTGCACGCTATAGTAGCACCCTAAAAACTTTAGGTGATGATGATGATGATAGTATCTGTGTAAACTGCACACTATAGTAGCACCCTAAAAACTTTAGGTGATGATGATGATGATAGTATCTGTGTAAACTGCATGCTATAGTAGCACCCTAAAAACTTTAGGTGATGATGATAGTATCCGTGTTGACCACACGCTATAGTAGCACCCTATTTACCTTGTAGTTCACTTAAACAACTGTATATGTTATGTATTATAAAACATAAGATATTTCTAAGTAGAATTATTGTTTTATTTTCAGTTCACAGCTAAAACTTGGAACTACTTTATTATTTACTATTGTGGTGTTTAAATCTAATTATACTGTTAAATTTTTAGAGAACTTGGGGAGTTTCTGAATTTAAGATGTGTATTTATTCCATCTTCAGAGAAAAGATACATTTTGATGAAAATGTTTTTGTAGATTGATGTGTGGTGGTCTTGTTTCGGAATTGTTCCTGTTAAATTCTTTATTTACTTTAAAATGTTGATTTGAAATCAGGATAAAGCTAAGTAACGAGGAAATAACATGTTAATATACAGTAAATATTTGAATTATAATGAATATGTCTGTGTGCTGTAAAGTAAATGTTTCAGTTGTGATATAGTTGCTTTTTGATAAATTCTAATCATTGCTCACCATGAAAAAGGTCAGTTGCCTACTTTTTATATGCTCATAATGCCCCGTATTTCATTACTAACATTGATGTTATGTACATTAGAAATGTGCTTTTTTGAATCAATAATTGTATAGTTAACATAACAGATAAAAGTGAGATTTAAACAGCTATCAAATAACCAGTGAGTAAATTACATTACAGAGAAAGACAGTAATGATTTAGTTTACTAACATTATAGAATATATTTATCTCACTTACTGTCTTATACAGAATGTAGCACAAGGTACGTAGTGGGCTTACATCAAACAGTTTACACTTAGTCTGTGGTGTGATGTTACTTGTATTACAAGGTACGTAGTGGACTTACATCAAACAGTTTACACTTGGTCTGTGGTGTGATGTTACTTGTAGTACAAGGTACGTAGTGGGCTTATGTCAAACAGTTTACACTTGTCCCTGGTGTGATGTTACTTGTAGCACAAGATACCTAGTGAGCTTACATCAAACAGTTTACACTTGGTCCGTGGTGTGACGTTACTTGTAGTACAAGGTACGTAGTGGGCTTACATCAAACAGTTTACACTTGGTCCGTGGTGTGATGTTACTTGTAGTACAAGATACATAGTGGGCTTATGTCAAACTTGAGTAATGTTTGACTTTAATAAATCACACACAGATATTCTTTATTTTATAATAAATGATTAACTTGCTGCATCTAAAACCAAAATGCTCTTAATATTTGATGAGTGTTCAGAAACTGGTGGTTAAGATTTGAAGATAAAAAGTTGTATAAATGTAGGTGTGAATTCTGGTAAGATGTACATTATTTTCACATTTTACAGTTGAACGTGTTAGATGCTGCTGTATATTTTAACATTAAGAAAATTTGAGGCAGTAACCTGCTTGTAAAGAGATATATCGACTTCCTGCTTCTTTTCTTGTTACTGTGTTTAATTTTGATAGCCACTTTATAAGATATTTGGTTAATAAGTTTTACAATCATCTGTTGTAACTACTGGTTTATGGCTCGGCTCTTTCAGACCAGAGTTTGTATGAAAAACATTCCTGGACCAATTAAAACACTAGAATTCTTGAAGGGATGGGAACAGTTGCAAGTTATTCTTTAAAGATTTCTTTAAATGTTATGAGGATTAAGCCAATGTAAGAATTCCTGTTGTTTCACGCAAACTTAGACATTAAAACCTGTTTCAATAGTAGTGTGCAAGTGAGTTTTGTTTCACATAGAAAGTAGGCTTAATCATACACAATATTAAATTGAAACATTATGTTCCTGGTTTTAAATGTATTTGCTTATTAAGTTTAATTTTTATGTATATCCTGGCTCTGTTATATAGAAAACTAAATAAAGTGATATGTTATAAATGTGTGATGTTTATGAGATGTTAAAATATATCAAATCAAGAGAGAGTAAGACAACCAGTTGGTATCGTTCATAGAAGAAATAAAATATATTCAGATCATTCTTTTAAAGATGACAGTTTCTTGTATTTCTTTATATACATATTTCAGGAAACATGGAAAACACTAACATTTTCTAATATTCTCTATGATTTTATGGTTTCTTTTTGGAAACATGAAGCTTTGTTAAGCCCAACAGCTGAATAATGAATATATATCCCAACAAGCTATGATTGGCTGTTGTTTTTGTTTTTTTTTCTTGCAAAAATGTATTGACATTTAAGGTTTTTGTGAAGAAAATTTTAGATTGGGTAACATAAATGTCAAATCTCATTGACCAGTGTGCCTCAGCATGATGATGTTCAACATTGACGTACAGCTGAGGTGATGTTCATTTTCTGTGATTGTAGGTTTGTAAACATGATGGTGTTCAACATTGACGTACAGGTGAGGTGATGCTCATTTTCTGTGATTGTAGGTTTGTAAATGGATTATTCATTTAAACAATGTGATAAATATTTTTTTGTTTCAAGTCTACGTTTGTAAATATAATTCAATTTTTTATTTTTGCTCATTGTTCAGTTGGAAGTTTGGTACTGCTAGAGTTTCAAGCTGTAGGACCTAGTGTTATTTCAGTTGTAAGTTTGGTCCTGCTAGAGTTACAAACTATATGACCTAGTGTTATTTCAGTTGTAAGTTCGTTGCTGCTAGAGTTACAAGCTATAGGACCTAGTGTTATTTCAGTTGTAAGTTAGTTGCTGCTGGAGTTACAAGCTGTAGGACCTAGTGTTATTTCAGTTGGAAGTTTGGTACTGCTAGAGTTACAAACTATAGGACCTAGTGTTATTTCAGTTGTAAGTTAGTTGCTGCTAGAGTTACAAGCTGTAGGACCTAGTGTTATTTCAGTTGGAAGTTTGGTACTGCTAGAGTTACAAACTATATGACCTAGTGTTATTTCAGTTGTAAGTTTGGTACTGCTAGAGTTACAAGCTGTAGGACCTAGTGTTATTTCAGTTGGAAGTTTGGTACTGCTAGAGTTACAAGCTATAGGACCTA